CCTTACCAGGTCCTCCCCCTTACCAGGTCCTCCTCCAGTTTCACTGGGAATAAAAGAGAAGGTGGCCCCTACCCAAGCCTTCTTGCAGAGTTTAACCCCATAGGAACCAGGGGATCCCTGGGTCTAGTTTTTAGAGGCTAAACCAGCTCTTGCTCCCCAGCCACTTCAAGGATGAGACGGTGGCCCAGAGAGGGTGGGTAGCAAACCTAGGGTCACACAGCCAGGGCTCTGCCGAGGGAAGTGGGAATGGGTGAAGCAGTTCCACCTCAGGCCCCCACTCCCTCCCTGTCCCCAGCTCCCAAGAGGTGTGTCTGGAATGCTGGAGGGACCAAAGCCAGAGGGAGTGTCCCCTTCCCAGGGTCTGCTGGGAGGAAAAGGCAAACCTTGAGAGGGGAATGTGGCTATAGAGTTTCGTTCCAGCAACCCCCCCCCCGCCCCCATTCCACCTTCAGGTCCCCCACCCTGCTGTTGTCCTGTTCTCCCCAGCACACCTCAGGCCCTTCTGTTCTCCCTCTCTATCAAATCCTGCAGTTGTCCCTGACCGGTCAGCCCAGGGGGCAGCAGGAGGCCTTCAGGGGCAGTGGTTAACAGGTGGTAGGACCTGCATCCCAGGCCAAACTTGACTGCTCTCTAGCTGTGTGACCGTGGGTGGTCTTTCTCTTTTTCTGAAGCTCAGTTTCCCCATCTGTGAATTGGGGATAATAAGAGGATGAAATGACAGAAGATAATTTATAAAAAGGACTTAGCACAGTGACCAGCAGATGGCAAATACTCTATAAATGTCACGTCATGATTTTTCCTACAGAATCAGAGAAGGCGAGGAAGGAGGAAGGGAGATGCTGAAGGCTGTTTTTTAAAGGTCACTGAATTCAACATCCTCTTCCGCCTCAGATTCCTTCCACAGATTCTGAATTTCCTGAGAGAAGGGGGAGGGAAGTAAGGGTGATGGCTGATGTGCCCTGACTTTAGGAGGCTCTTGGGGAGGTATAGACAAGAGGGGTCACACACAGGTATATAGGACAGAGGAGCATGCAGCAAGGGGAGCAGGTTGGGTGGAGGGTCAGATCACGTGATAAGGGGTAAGGCCAGGAGCAGTGGGTCAGGGCAGGGCTTAACAGGGATAGGAACCGTCTAGCAGCTGTGTAACCCCTCCAGGAGCAGGAGAGAGGCTCCCCACCTCCCCACTCCACTGGCTGTTAGAAAGTTCTAGAAAGAGATCTCATGCTCTTTAGGAAAGTGTCTTCTCTCCCATTCCACTTAATCCATTTTCTAAGGCGGACATGGAGGGAGAATCTCTGCATGGGAGGGCAGCCAGAACCCATGCCTCATCTCTATCCCTTCTTCCTGAGCCACGTGTTCCTCACAGCCCACCATGGAGTAGCCCAAATTTTCTTAAAGTTCTAACTAGTTTGGATTGAAATCAGCATCTCTGAAACTTGGACTTGGTTCCTGTTTCTTTGTGTGCCTGCTTCTGAGTGTGTGTGCACAAATGCACGTGTGCATTTCTCAGTGTCTCTGGGTGTACCTGTCTTTCTCTCAGTATGTCTTGTTATGTCTCTGTGGGTCTGTGCTTCTGGGCCACCGTGTCTGTCTTTTTCTGTGTCTCTATCACTGCCTAACTCTTTGTGTCCGGTCTTTCGTTGTGTACCTTGAAGCGAGCATTCCTGTGTACCCTCTTGTGTGACTCTGAGCACATCTCTGTGTGTACTCAGAGCATATCTCTGTGTGTACTTGAAGCATGTCTCTGTGTGTACTCACAGAACATCTCATGTGTACCTGTGAACACATGTATGTGTGTACTCAAAGTATCTCTCTGAGTGTACCTCTGAGTGACTCCTGCCAGCCCAGTCCTGCACCATCCTACCCTGGGGCAAGCCTCCTCCTTAATTTCTGGTAATGAGCTCGCTCCTTCTTGCTCACTCTCCCCTTGATTTTGTTTTTCTGAAAATCTGGGTGGGGCCCCGCCAGGCTTGGGAAAACATGGGTGGGGTAGAGTTGGGTGGGGTGGGAAGGAGAGAGGAGGGACTGCTCCACCTATTGTGGAGACCCCAGCAAGAAGGGTCTATGAAGGTGCCGGCCTAAGCAGGGCCCGGAACTCCCACATTGGGAGGAGGGAGCTTGTCCTGGGGTGGGATCACTGAGCTGGAGGCCAGGGAATGCCAGAGTACATAAAGGGGAGAAACTGATGCACCAGGGCTCTTAGGGGGACTGGAGGAGGGCTTACCAGGAGAGCACCCCTGAGTCTTGAGAGGAGTGAGTGTGTCTGCCCAGCTGCTGGGTGGCCTCCTCAGCGACCCAGTGTCACCATGCCTGAGGCGTTCACCTTTGGCGCTAGGTTTGTTAGGGGTAAGGGAGAGGGTGGCAGTGGGAACAAAGAGGT